CTGTCGTGCGCACACGGAGCTCCCGGTCCCCGCCCCCGCCGGCGACCCCGGATCAGGGGGTCGCGACCCTTGGGCTGATTCCCTCGGCGGGCAGCCTCCGGGGAGCAGCCTGCCTCTGCTGGACTACTTTCCTCCTGAGACAGCTCTTCTTAAAGACATTGCTTTGTGTTGAGTAGAAACGCGTTTCCACCAGGCATTCACCCTTTGGTTCCACTGTCCGGTGCTCAAGAGAATAAATCTAAACCCTCTTCTCCAGGGCAAGCCAACAGTCCTTCAAGTACAGGTCGCTTCAAATGCTTACCAAGTAAGTGTAAAGACATTCGACAAACTTCTGATTTTCCCATGAGGAGGGTTTTAGAAGTTAGCTTCTCATCCCATCGTCCACTCACCTACTTTTCTCTTTTCGAGGCAAGACAACCTCAGTTCCTACAGCTGTTTTTCTCCATCTCTCTCTTTTTTTTTTTCTTTCACCGTAAACGCTCCAAACTCCCTTCAAAATGAGCCTTTCTACTGCCTTCCACAGTCTTCCTTCTCAAGAAGAGGGGAAGAATTTTCTATTCTCTGGTTTCTAAATGGAAACAGGGACTCAGAAAGGCCGTGTAGGAAAGCTGTCTGCTCTGAAGGAATTTACTGATTCTAAGTCCTCATGTTCCAGGGACAGCAGACCCCAGCCAAGTGAAAGTGCTCTTCAGGACTGACCAGCCCCTGGTCCAGCTCACCCTCCCCTTTCCCATCTCTGGAGTTCCTTTCATACCCTGACTCTCCCTTACTTTCAGTTGAATCTCCAGATATTTCTTTTCTTACTAACTAATCTGTCAGGCTCTTGAAGGCGAGATCTCTGTAACTCTGTGACTTTTACGTAACGGTGTTTAACAAAAGAAGACAGATTCATTTCTCTGTAGAGAAATATGCATTTAGGGGAGTGATTATAGAAAGAACATGGGCTTTCCCTTCATACTAAGGTTTAAACCGCAGATCTGTGACTTAAGGGTTGCACAATTATGAACACATAATTTAAGTCATCAGTTTTGGTCTCATTTGTAAAATAAGAATTCCTGCCTCTCAAATTCATTAATGCGGCAGCTACAAAAAAAAACCCTACTGTGTGTCAGCTGTGAACAATGTCATGTGGGGATTAGCAGATGAAAAAGTAGGATGAAAAAGATAAGCAGGGGTTGGTGATAGCTATTTGGAAAGTATAGTTCGAGATATGCCTCTCAATGTGTCTGGCACATAATAGCACTTCAAAGATGTTATGGTTTCTTTCCCATCACATTCTTTGTTTAACTAGTCCCCAAATGCAAGGGCATTTTCATTCGTGAAATCTCTTGTAGTGAACTGTAGGAGGCTATGAGCTCCCTGGGGGTAAAGATTGTGTCTTATTCACCACTATATCACAAGTATGTAGCTAAAACATTGGCACTTAGTAGATACCTAATAGATATCTGTTCAATAAATGAATACATGGAATGCAAATCTTCAGTAATAAATAGACTCCATCTGGGCTAGTTTAAGAAGAGACTGAATAGTTGAAGATGTGCTGCAGGATGAAGTGAATGGATTCCCACCTGATGAATTATGTTGTCATAGATAGTATTTGATGACTGCAGGAATAGGCTACTTGAAAATTCTCCCATTATTCGAATGTGTTATTTTTCCTTTCAGTATTTTGTTTTTCCTCACATCACTGAGGAAAAATATCCATAGAGCTAGAGAAAAACATCTCTGTGAAACAACCAATCATTAATAGTTCATCAAGGAATACTAAACTAGCTAAATACGTTTATTTCCCTGGAGAGAACTGGATGTCAGGCTTCTATCTATATGCGATGTTCTATCTCAAGCTTCTCTAGCATTGCAGAACCACAGGGCAAGAGAACTGTGGCTAATGTCATGAGAGAAAGAACAGTTTGCATTCTACTCTCTGTTCCTGACGGGATTAAAATATCACTTTTTGGCAGTGTTCTACATAAGCAAAAAATTACAGCTGCATGAAAGATGTTTTCTTTAGCTCTAGAATTGGAAAAACAACCAAGCAACAACAACAACTCAAATTAACTCCTAGTAGAAGGAAAATCTAATTGTATTCCTTCCTTCCTTTCTTCTTTTAAACCAGGACAGCTCATTTATTTATTTGACACATGTTCATTGAGTGCCTCCTATGTGCTGGTTGCTGTTCTGGGCTCTGAGGTTATAACAGGTAAGCATACAAAAATCTTTGCCCCTTACACAGCTTGTTATTAGTCCATGGTGATTTCAGTTTACCCATCCTGTACTATATTCTTTTTCAGTCCGATGATTCCTCTAATCTGTTTATACTACATTCAGTTTTGTTCCTTCAAGGCTTGTTTTTTTATTGGTACGGTTTATGTTTCCATTTCCTACTGTTAATTGAGTTACTTCTTAAGGTATATTGTTATGACTAGGAATAAATTTTAAATTAAGTTATTATGTAGACTAAGCAGAAAGTGTGGGTAATTTTTAAATTACTGTTACTTTTTTAATTGTTAAAAGCCACTGTGTGCTCAGCACTGGGCTAAGGCAGGAAATGCAAAGATGGCTGTAGTCCCTGAGAAGTTCCCGGTCTGGCTGGGATGGTATTCCCTCATCAGGAAATGCCTTGCTCCCAAAGGAGGAGCTGGGAGGGACCTTAAGTAAGTAACTTGTTTTCCAATCCCCTACTAGTTTCTCTGTAGGGGAAGTTCTAAAGTGCTATTTTCCCTGCAGACCCAGCTTTATAGTGATCTCCAGTGCTTCGGGCAACCTTGTCAAGCAAGGGCCCTATTGCCTGAGGTACTAAGCATGTGCTTAAGGACACCAGCACACACTCAGAATAAGACTTAAAACCCACTAATGAGCTCCTACATACAGATACTCATGTCATTCATTTAAATTCCCATTTTCATGTGTTTTCTTTCATTTGGATTATGCCCTAGGCCCCTGTCCATCTCATCTTCTGATACCCCAGGAAGAGCAGAGTTTGCATCTGGGGAACTGCCAGTTCTCCTATGGACTCAGTATAATCAGCTCAGCCCGTCATTGCTAAAAGTAGATCCATCCCCATTAACCAGTGCCATGCACCTGTAGCATGTTTTTGGCCTGATGTAAAAGAAACCTGTATTTCTCACCATGTCTTATTTGTCTCAGAAGCAGCAGCAGCTCACATAATTCCCTAGAGGCCATGCAAATCATAGCTGTCATCAGAGCAGGCAATTGAGGCTTTGCTCTAGGAAATCAAATTTATATGATGCAAGGGGGGAGGGTATAGCTCAATGGTAGAGTGTATGCTTAGTATGTACAAGGTCCTGGGTTCAATCCCCAGTACCTCCAGCAAATAAACAAACAAATCTAATTACGCCACCCAAATAATTTATATGATGCAAAAAGTTTCTAATAAAGATTGTTAAAATTTTGCAGTTTTAAATTTTGTTTCATTTATATTTGGACAACACAAGTACTTCTATAGCATCAAGGAAAGACTTGAATTTAGTGCTGAGTTGGCACTAAGAGTTAAGCTAAGAATACCAGCTGACATTTAAAGTTTATTATAACAGTCAGTGAGCCAGAGAATGAATTATGAAACATATTTGGACTTTTTTCTTGTTGCTTTCACAAGGGTGAATACTGTAATCATTAAAAAATGTTGAATGAATGAATAAATGGTGGAAAAAGTTTAAAAATTTTAATGGAGATTTGATTCATATGTGTTATAGTTCAAATATTTAGGAAGAAAGGGAAATTTCTATAATCAGTTTTCCCCAAGGAAGAAAATGTGTAAAAGTGAAAATGAGGGATTATTGCCGTGCTAAAATTGAAAGTTGTCATTTTTTGGAGTCAATTTAAAAGCAAATTTTTGCTTCTAAGAATATATCTTTACATTACCATTTCTTAATGCTTATGTTCGGTAAACTAATAAAACATATATATTAGTTTAATGCCTGAATTCATGAATATTGAATTAAACAGAAATATCAATGTAACTGTTTATTATGAAATTATTCTAGAAGTGTTCTTATGAGGATCTTAGTTCCACTTATACTATCCGTAAATAAAAAGTAAAGATAAATTGCCCACCAGGTGGCAGCAGTATTTCAAATTGTTCTATGAACGCACATGAGCAGTGTAGGGGCCTTTCCTTAAATTTTTGTGATACGTATGAGGAGGATGATTTCTGTCCCTGCCCTCAACTAACTCACAGTCTGTATTGTGTAGCTCAAATATATGTCCTTTCTTTCTGATTTTTTTTTCTTTTCCTTTTGATAGTTAAAAATTCTTAGTATAGATCATTCTCAAGTGTCAGAAGAAAAAGTGAGGCTGCTAAGCTATTTTGCCAGTGTTGAGTCTGAGATACCAACTGGTTATGTGATGGGCCTTGGAAGCAAATCATGAGCCTTTTGATGTCACAACCCCTAACCCCCAAAAGTAAATCTAATAGACATTCTCTGATAGTTTTTCCACTGAAAATATATGTGGTTTCAGGCATTCCTTTTTTCCATGATTTTTCTCAGCCTCTAGAGAATTGAAACTGACATTTATTTATTAGAAAGCACTTGTGCTTTAGGGCATCCAGTTCATATTTAATACCTTTGCTTCATAGTCTACTTTTGCCCTAACTAGTAGCAATAGAATTGCAAATTGATGGGAACAGTCTTACTCTTATCATCTGTACATTTCAATATACTCCATTAGGTTATCTAAATATATTGCATATTGTTAAAATAATATTAAAGGTAACATTAAATTATCCCATATTCTCACATCCTGAACACTAACATTTTCTGTTTCTCTGTGCTTCCTTAGAACCTTTATATCCATGTTTATACAAAGTTCTATTTGGAGTACCCATGACAACCAAAACCTTTCACTTATTAGATATAAACCATTTCCATTTTGAAGCCTAATCTTTGTATTTATCTTTTTGTGCAGCATTTGGCTATAAATGTATGTCGTAATTTATTCTATTTCTATGGTGGACCCAGGTTGTTTCTGATTTTATCTGTTGTAATTGGTTACAGGATGTATGATGTTCTAGATGGGCTTTAGTTGAGATATTTTGTTTAATTCTATCTGTAAATATATACTCTCATATTTGTCAAAACTTTTGTTCTGAATTTGATTCCCAACTCTGTCAAGAGCCATGTAAATGCGTATTGTGTATTGTGTATTGTGTATTGTGTGTGTGTGCGTGCATGCACGTGTGCCAACAGTTGTACTCCAGGAAACTGACTTAAGGAAGTAATTCAAACAAACAAAAAATTTCTTAATAATACAATAGTATGATGTTTTTCATGCTTCATTTAAATTCTGGGAATATTAGCATAACTTTATTTTTTGTAATTAATACTTTACTCTTTTTTCTTTTTACATTTCTGTAATAATTGATGTGGAGTTCATTTGCAGTATAAGTTTTAGATCTAAATCAGTTTTCTCTATATTGCACTACCTTTATCCCTGCTTATTAAATAATTTTCACTTCCCTGGAACTATGTGATTTCTTATTTCATTGAATGCTTGAGTATAATGTACAAACCCAATATATTTAGGTTTTTAAATTTCATTTTATTTTTATGTCAGCATTTCATCATATAATTATTGTTACACATCTGGAAGGCCTACTGACTCTTGGCACGTCTCCCGCCTTTATCATTGGTATTTCCTCTTAGAATATTCTTTACCACTTATTTTCTATACAGCTTTTTATTATTTTCATTGTGACAACACCAAATCAGCAAATGAGCTGCTTAAGAAATTATTTTTATTAAAATTTTTATTGTGAACTAAAACGTGCTCCTTACAATGAAAATTCGAACAGTAATGAGACATAGAAAGTGAAAGTCTACTCAATCATGTGGAAACTAGGATTATCAGTTAGATACTTGTCTTCCCAATCTTTATATATATTATATATGCAAAATTATGCAGTTCTGCAGCTGGTTTGCATCATCCACAATGGATGGCAGGGTCTGTTAGTATCTGATCAGATAAACTGACTTCACTTTTTCAAGTGGCTGAAGTCTTTTATTGAACAAATATACCATAATTTATTTAGTGGATTTTTTATAGATATGTAAGTTGTATGAAGTTAAATTTTTAAAATTGTTATAAGGATTGTTACAAGGAACATCATGTACATAAATGTATCTCTGTGTAGTTGACAATTTATTTCTGAGATCTGAATTTTCTAGCAGGAGAATTGCTAAGTCAGAGACTATTCCTTAATTGTGATAGATACTGACAAATTGGCCTCCAAAAAGTTCTTACCCTTCCACCTACAGTATATAATAATTCCTATTTCCAAACTAGTAGAGCTAACTAACATATTTTGAAGGTCCAAGAGTATCTGTCTTTTTCTGGTTGTGTAAACACTGTGTGAAACACACCCTTTCCTCTTGTTCTGTGTCTGGTTTTGATTGACTGACTAGAGAAACGGGTTTATGATTTTAACCTGATACTTGAATGTCTGTAAGATTACTTAACCTATCTTCTTAGACGTTTAAACATTTTAGGTCAAAGGCATGAAAAAGTGTTTATGTACAACTCTGGAAACCTTTTCTCTTTCTCATTTTCAGTGTACGTGTATTTGTATGGTGTAGCAGCAGGTCAGGGTGAATTCACATCCACTTAGCTACCAAATAGCTGTGGACTTTAGGCAAGACACTTAATCTTACTGATCCTTAATTTCCTCCTTGGAAAGAGTTACCAGCCTCACAAGATTGTTGTGAAAACAAATAACAGTGATGAGGTTAGTAATAATATTTTTGAATAGTGATTTATAGCTTTCAAAGCACCTTAGTGTGCATTATGTCTTTAGATCTTTTTAATAACCTTATACGGTAGACGGGACAAGCATTTTTATCATCATTTTTTTCACATAAGAAAACTAAGGCACAGTTAAGATTGGTAACAACATCAAGAAATATTCCTTTGAGAAGTTAATGTTACAACACAAAGGTATCACCAGGGACAAGGAAACACTACATAAGTGCTCCTGGTAGAGAGCTTCAGGGACTCCTCTGTGTGTGTGTGTGTGGCAGGGCGGGGTGGGGGGGGATTCTTTCTTTCTTCTTCTTCTAACATCTCTGTGGATGTTTTACTATGAAGAAAAGACCAGTCTGTGACCATCGTTCTCTCTCTGCTTTTCCCACCAGTACTCTTTGCATATGGCTATAGAGAAAAGTTTAATTACTAGAAAATAGAAAT